GTGGACCAGATTGTATAGACTTTCAAATATACCTCAGTTCTTACCTCTGCTATGAGATGTTTCCTATAATCTTTGAAAGGACATGTCTAATTTTTTATTGTAAGATAGTTATATCATAACCTAGCAATAAATACAAAGAACACAAGTATTGTCCCATTTTTGTTCCTGAGCATGGGTGGGCCGTGATGGTCATAGCAGACAGAACTGTGAGATGGCTGCCAAGAGTCCACCTCCTAGTGGATATGCCTGTATAATCCACTCCCCTTGTGTGTGAGGGAACTGAGGAAGATGATGGATCATCATCCCCATGACTAGGTTATGATGGCACAGTTGACTTTAAAAAAGGGAGATTATTTTTGGTGGGCCTGACCTAATCAGCAAGCCCTAAGAAGGCCTAGGGTCTTCTTGAAGACAGAGTTTTGAAATGGGAGAGAGATTTGACACAAGGGAGATTTCCCATTGTTGGATATAAATATGGAGGGGGTCACGGAAAGTGGCCACTAAGAGTGGAAAGCCAACAAGAAAATAAGGGCTTCGGTCTTCTAACTATGAGGAACTGAATTCTATGGACAAACTGAATGAGCTTGGAAGGAAATTGTTCTATAGAGCCCCGAGACGAGAATTCACCTTGACTGATACCTTGAGTGTGAGACTCTGAGCAGAGAACTCACGTGAACCACGGCTGGACTTCCGACCTACTGAACTGACAGCTAATAAATGTGTATTGTTTTAAGCTTCTAAATTTGTGGTGATTGGAGATGCAGCAATAGAAAACGAATAAACTAATAAGAATGGTATTCTAGTTAAACGTGACATGGGATTTTTTTAAGAACTTCTTTTCTTGTCTCCTCTTTCCTTGCCTTTCTCCAAAGTTTTGCTCTCTTTTCCCACCATGCAGTTATTTCATTGAGGAAATGCAGTACTGTCATATGAAAATCTTCTCCCATATTATATATCAGAGTTATCATTTTTTCTCCCTTACAGTTTATTTGAGATGCAGAGATGTATATACATGCTTAGGGATGGAGAATCAAACCGGAAAACCAGGATTTCAAGAATTAAAGCAAACAATCCGGGTATTTTGAAGTAACTCAGATATGTTTCATTCACTGTATCCAGCTATTTTGATACACAGCAACCCTGACATAACAGTTGAAGAAAAAGGAGAAGCAATGTGAACACAAGTGCCAGGACATTTTAATAGCTTTTACCAATAAACATGACTAGAATGCCATGCATCTGAATCCATGTTTTTCTGAGGCAAACCTGCATCCTGTCTTCTGCTTCCTGATATTGCAGCTGGATCCTATTACAAGTGTAGGACACACCATGGGAAGCACGCCTAAACTTTTTAAGTTACAAAACCAAAGTTGATATTCATTAATTAGATGTTTAGATTATGCAGATTGACCACTGTATTATATATAACAGTGAAAAACACTATTATGTGGCTTGATGATTGCTCCTCCTAGGTAATTTAGCTAAGCCTTATTTACTGAGATATTCTAGTAACCGCAAAGGCAGGATTTGGTGTCAGGTCAAAAATCAGATCAAACTGTGACTTTGTGGTTGATGGCAGGAAAAAATGCTCTACAACACAGGGAATTGAGAACACAATATGGTATCTTTCTAACACTTAATTCAGGAAAAATGGCATCTCCAGCAAAGCTTAACATAGCGCTACTATATAATGCTGGTTAGTGAAAATATTAACAAGTCAATAATTCATAACTAAGACTCACCATTTAAAACCCATATTCTCTACCTTTGAGAAAACGATAGAATTGAATTAAGAGATAAGCCACCTAAATTTAGATTTAAGCAAATGTCAACTATGGATTCTGGAATAAGTTCGAGGATCACAAACGCTCAGATGAATAATGTTTAGCTGTTTTAGTAAACACACACACACACACACACACACACACAATGTTCAAAAGGCCATAATGTACAAAACTTCAAGGTCCGGGGATCCAGGTAAACCATGACTTAGCTTTTATCAACTTTAACCAAAGTCTTCCCAGGTGCTAAAGTCAGCACTAAAGAAAAGCTATTATAAAACTACTATGTTAAGTAATTATAGCTTTGTCTGCTTCAACTTCTTATACCATCTATATAATTATGTTGAGAGAAAACACTCCAAGCTCAAATGAAATAAATGACTTCAGTTTATGCCCACACGGACCTTGTCAAGTAGCCAATGACTTGCCCTTTCATTGTGAGTGACTAATATCAATGTTGGCTCTAAAGAAAGACACTTTTCATAATCGCCCAACAATCTGCTAAGTGAAAACATATGGATAGGCTTAGGCAAAGCCTGCCAGGGGTCTTTGCTGAATGGAAAACAGGTGCTCTCATTCTATGCCACGTAATACCCCATTTACCCCCAAGTCCAAAGGTTATAGGACTAATAGTTGCCTTGTGGTAATCAGCGAAAGCCAAGACACTGGCCCTGGTGAAACATCTGGGACATATTTTACATACTTGCAACATATGCTTCAGGTTCAATTAAAGTGAGGCTTTGGCACATTTATTAATCTTTTTTACTTTTATCCTATAAGAGTACCCACTGACCTGACCCCACTATTATACCATATGAGAAAACAGAGAAATAATGAAAGCTAGAGGTCAGTACCTACTCGTATGGCAAAAAATACATTTGTTTTCTCATGAAATTCCATTACGCATGACTCTATACACAAACTTTAAATAGAGGAACCAATGAATTTTTTAAAGTAGGAAATTACCCTTCTCCTACTCAGACACACTGATAGCCAAGACGCACAACATTTACCACTGCCAGAGCCAGTCAAGAGATGGAGGCTAGTAAATAGAAACTTGAAGGATTCTTTCACAGTTCCATTTCTTAGAGTAAAAAATTTATATTTCAAAATGTCCACTCTAAGATTCTTCACTCTATTATGCAAACCCCTAAAGTCTATTGAGTTACTACATTTAAGATTTTTTGTTCAGATATTACTTTTATGCTATAAATTGTATTATGAATAAAAAGAAAAACCTTCTTATATATCATTCAAATAAAGAACTGGATTTAAGAAAATCAGCTCACAGTCCTTTCATATGGAAAACACACTGTTAGTTGCATCCTGCACAGAAGAATACAGTTGAATTCACATAGTAGTTTAGGCCCTCCTTTCAATCAACTTAGGTAACTAGATCTAAAAACGTGTAGAAAGGGGGTGTCAATTTCAGACAACCAAACACTGGATCACAAAGATGCCACTTCAGAGATCTGGTGTTGTGTCCACATGGCATGTTCTGTTTGGCATCTATGTTTTGGTAAGCTGGTTAACCAGGTGTGCTATTGATTTCCCACTGCTACCATCCTCTCTATTAAAAAATGACCATAAGGGGGAGATTAGTGGTATAGAATATCAACAAACTGGCTATAAAATATAGGCTGACTCCAAGCAGGGACACTGAAGAGCTAGACTTCACTAAGGGTTTCCATTTATTAACATTTCTGGGGAAACGCCCGCTGCCGGAATGGATCTTTATGGTGGCTTTAATAATAAAGCAGCAACAAGCCAGGGAAAATGGCCATAAATGGATGGCAGCTCAGTGTTTATCAGCAGAGAAATGATGATTCAGAGCTGGCATGTTGAGTTAAAATACAAGCTCTCTACAGCTCCACAACTGACCTTAACAATAAATCATATCATTTATTGCCATAAGTGTTTGCTCATGTTATTTAACATTAAAAACAAGCACATATGTGTGTTTGCAGGAAGAAGATTTTTGTTAGTTTATATTTGATGATGTCGTTAATGACTAAATGATGTACATGAGAAAAATTTTACATAAAAGCTCTATCAACTTAAAAATGTTTAAAATAGCATCAGAAGGGAGAAAGAGTGTGTGTGTGTGTGTGTGTGTTTCCATTTTCCTTTAAGCATTAAATATTAGGAAAGAAATCATTTTGGAGTTAACTAATCAGTGTGAATTTTTTTGACATTTTCAATGCTTGCTTCTAGCACCCAGATTCTTAAACTAAAATATAAATGTGCCTTTCTACTGGAATCAATGGTCAAGGGTATAAATTAAGGTATGCTGTTTTTTTTCTTTCTTAAAAAATTTTTTCACTGCTTTACTATAACAGAAGTCAGATAGATTCTGGTAAATGTCAAAATCTAGTTTTACACGCTGAACAAGGCAAGAATAACAAACAATAGTCTCCCTTCCTCCTCCCAATCTCACCCCAGGACTTTTTAGATTTTAGATCTTGACCTGCCCAAGCACTGTAAACCAGCTCACAAGCCTCCTTGCCACAGAAAGCTATTCTTCCAAGCCCACTCGCTGCTGCAGTGGTGCAAGGTCATTCTAATTCCTCCCTCCAGTGGTCCTCTCTTCCCGGAGGACGACCAATCCAAGCAGTCCCTAGCTGTTATTTACTGTGGTCACCATCCACAAGCCAACCAGCAGCTGAAAAATGAGCCTCCCTGACCACGCTTTCCCGGCCAAGGAGCCATGGGGCCATTCCAGGTCAAGTCTAGGCAGAGGGCAGCAGCCCTGGGGTTATTTAAATGCCCTCCACTCACACGTGTTCCTCTGATGAGCAATTTTTCGAAAATTACAGATGACAATACCCATGCTCAGCTCATGCGGCCTGCTAGTTTTTCTCTCTCCTCTCTTCCCCCAAAGCATAGCCCGATTTGTAACACTCAAGAAAGGACAAATTTTTGCCCTTCAAAAACAGTTGTCACTGCTGTTATCTTCACGAGAGCTATCAAGTTCCAGACAAGCTGAATTGTTTTTTTTTTGTTCCTGGCAGAAAAATATTTGACCCAGCTCTGGACAAAAGCGAGGAGGATTTATAGGCCTCTCTCCCTCTTTGCAACACGCGGTGGCATTGTTAGGATGATGAACAGCACTGTCCGGCTCCGGGCTCGCGCACCTCGGCTCCTTTTTCACCTGTCTGAGAGCGGCGCCGCGTCCGCACTCCGCGTCCCCAGGCGCCCGGCGCCGGGCACGATAATTACCTTGTCATCTCTGTCATCCTCCTCTTCCTCGACCTCGAGCATGTCCTCCACCACCTGCAGGCACAAACACAGTCGTTTCATGCTCTTACAGGAGGGAATTTTGTTCTGTCATTTTGAACCTTTTGGAAACGAAAACTTTATTAACATTTGAAACAGATGCGCTGAGAGGGGATATTTGATCTAGGGACAGGGCTGAGGAAAATGCCATCCCTTCAACTGATGAAAACCCGGGCACTGGGTCCCAGTCCGGGAACCCTATTTGTGTGAAATATTCTGTGACGACTTACAGAATCTGCAATACGCATAAGGCAAATGAACACTAATTTGAGGGATGCTTTAAATCAGGAAATTTCCTTTTTTTTTTACCTATTCTTCTGTATGTATTAATCAGTCACTTTAAATTTGGAGCTAGATAACTTCAGCAGAAAACAGCTCTGCTATTTTTAATTTACTTTTCACCAAATTCTAAGATAAAGAACTATGTTCATTGATTCAGGCTGGTGGTCAATGGCATAAAGCTAACAATATCGTATCTTTCATGGCTCAGGTTTTAATTTTTATGTATAAATGTCAAGTCTTGACTATCTCAGTATTACTTTTTGATTTTATGGATTACCTGATACGCTAACTTTAATTCTCTGTGATTTTACAATGGACATTAGTGAAAGAAAATTAGAAATGTATTTAAAAATCAAATGTGTAGAATATCATATATTATAGGTGAATATTCATGCAGGCATGTGGGTATATATTGGTGTCTTTTTAAATGGCTCCTAGTTTACCTCCTTTAGCAGAATGGAATAGGCATTTTGGATTTGCCAAATAATTTTTGGTTGCTTCGATTAGTATATAACTGCAGCCAGTATGAATGGAACTTCACCCTGTTTCAGGTGTTATATTATGGCTTTATACACCTACACACACACACACTCCATGGAAACTAAAAATTATTTACAAATGGAGGGGCGTTACTCAAGTAAGTGCCAATTTATGATTCTACTTATGTCATTTCTAATTTGGGGGGCATTTGTATTTTTTTTATCTAGTCTGTATCTCTTTCTCTGAATAAACTCAATAGAATCATGATTATCAAATATTTTTAAACCTTTCTCCCAAAGCTCATAACTTTAGAAGATAGAAACCACTAGCCCTTCTTTCATATGGCCTTATGATACAGACAGGAATATGCTTAGCTATTCAATGAAAACTTCAATAACTAAGACTGCATTATGCAAAGAGTTACATAAGATAACATGTCAGGACTCTCAGTTATTCTAATAATTTTCTCAGATATTCTAAAAGCATTAATTGCTTTAAAAGAACAGCCCAAACACAAGCCTTCGGTTTTCATGAACTGATTTGACTCAAAGAATCTGACAACCTGGGAGATTGCTCCTAATTTAATGTCATACTTTAAATCTATTATATAGAATTTAGTGGTTTTTCACTTGGACGTTCAGGATTTCGAAGGAACCACAGTAGCACAATGTGCTGTTTCCTATATCTGGTGAGAATTTACACTTATTTTGGGGTCATATAAAGCAATTCAGCCTCAGCAAGAAAGAAGGGTTCTTGATCTTCTCTCTCGAACTATATTTAGCCACTTTATAAGCACTATTAGAAATCCCCTGTCCAAGGAGCACAGTACTAGGCACTGTGGGACTACAAAGCGAGTAACACATGGCTAATTCAGCTATATTCATGTCAGCTCTTCAAAGGCTTATAATCCAGGAGGATTTAAATGAGGACTAGCAGATAATTTTTCATATGTTGACTTTTAATTTCCTAAAACTTTGAAGTATTCATGTCATAAGTATACAGACAACAATAGTCATAGTGTATAATTTAGGTGCTAGATGCCAGGCTGCTCCAAACTGGGATATTTGTGATGGAAGTTTAAATGGGAAAAGCAGTCACAATATTTCAGTGCATGTGTTGCATCAAAAAAAATTCACCTAACAACAAGTAGCTGAGCTAGAACTCAAAGCCAGACTGCGGGATAGTAGAGAGCAAGCTTTCAATCCCTACCTAGTTCTGAAAAAGAAAAAAAATTCACCTAACCCTCACAAGATTTCAAAACATGATTATAATTTTATATCTCTAATAGAATGATGTTTTGAATATTAGATTTAGAATAATTTTTAAAGGTTAGTCAGTATATATTTTAATTTTTTCAATGGCAACCTACCTAAGTGACCACTGGTAGATGAATGGATGAAAAAGTTGTGGTACATTTATACAATGGAATAGTACTCAGCCATAAACTAGAATGAAATCTTGCCATTTGCATCAACATGTATGGACCTAGAGAGTATTATGCTAAGTGAAATAAGTCAGACAGAGAAAGACAAATACCATGATTTCACTTATATTTGAAATATAATGAACAAAATAAACAAAACAGAAACAAACTCATATGTACAGAGAACATTTTGATGTTTGCTAGATGGGAGGGGTTTAGGGAGGTGGGTAAAAAAGGGGAAGGGATTAGAAGTACAAATTGGTTTACAGAATAGTCCTGGGGATGTAAAGTACAGCATAGGGAATACAGTCAATAATATTGTAATAACTATGTATGATGGCAGATGGGTACTAGACTAATTGAGGTGACCACTTTGTAAGTTATGTAAATATCTAATCACTATGTTGTACACCTGAAACTAATATAATATTGTATGTTAAATGTAATTGAAAAGTAAAAATTATAAAAACAAATAAAAATTGTATTTATTTAAGGTATACAACATGATATTTTAAAACTGATTTGAGAGAGAGAAAGAAATATCGATGTGAGAGAGAAACATCGACCAGCTGCCTCCTGCACATGCCTTGACCAGGGATCAAATCCACAACCTGGGCGTGTGCCGTGACCAGGAACTGAACCCACCACCTGCAGGTGTATAGAATGACACTTCAGCTAACTGAGCTACACCAGCCAGGGCTGACATAATGATTTAATATACATTAGGTTAAGTAATATTTTGGCTAAAATTACCCATGCAAAGTAATTTACCAAAAATGACAAGAAAAATAAAATGAATACCATACTGTTACTCCTGTGCACAAATTCCAGCAATAGTTTCACTAGTTACTATTAAGAATGTATTATATGTCTCCCCTCTTCAGGATTTACTATCATATGGCAAGTGCTGGGAAGACAGAATGGTGTGTTAGACTGTGCCTAGCAGATGGCAAGATATATAGTGGGTGTTCAAGAAATTTGATAGAGTGAATAGATGAACGCATCATCTATTCTTCATATCCTTGAACACACTTCAGTAAAGTGCCTCTCATTTATCTCAGAACTGAACTAGCTTGCCTGGAAAGACTTATACCTAATCAATGATGCCCATTAATAAAAGTAAATATTCAAAATGCTTTCAAATATTTGCCTGGAAATACAAACCATGAATATTTAACCTTCATTTTAAGATTTGGAGATCTCCGCTATCTTCAAGTTGATTTTCAAAAATTCAAAATATCACTTAACGGAAAAACAACCCAAAAGCTTAATTTACACATTTTACAAATCAACTGCACATCTTATGTTCAAGAATGACTTGAAGTGGTCTACAGATTCAGGCTCTTCATTGGTGAAACCCAAACTGTTCTTACCCTTCACAAGTGGGTAATTGGCTATGCACAATTGCTCCACAAATGTGCAGCCAGAACCACCCAATGCAACCATTTGCTTTTACATTTGGCAGAAGAGTGTTGTGTTAGCGAGAGGCCTTTGTGTTGTGTTTAGCGCTCTAGTGAGGGCTTTCCCCTCCTCCGGTGTCCTTTTAATGTTACATCATAAACATCTATGAGTGAGGATTTATAATACAGATGGTTTTCCATTGATGCCTCTAAGCTGCTTCAGAATATATCCCACTATTATATTTTGCTAAGGTGAAGCTTAAGGTGGCTTGGAATAGAGAGATAATAATAGCACCTATCCCACATGATGGTCAAGGATCCAATGAGATAGTATATTTAAAGTGCTTAGCACACTTCTGGCATTGAAGTACTCAAAAATGTTAGCTATTAATAAAAATAAAAATAATATCAATTTAATAATATTTTAAACAATATTTGGAAATTATATATATTTTTTTCTGGGCAAGATATTCAGTGTTCTTAATGACACAAAATTCAGGTCCTATTTCACTAACACTAAGAAACACATAGAAGGGCACAAGTAGAGGTGTGGATTAAGATTCCCACTTAAAACGATAATGTTTTCACAACTAATTTTCAGGCTTTAGTGGTCCCATGAAACAGATGGCTTTGAAGGCAACAATGTCTCAGACTCTAGGCTGTGCTTTAAGACAAGCCCTGGCCAAATGCAATGAATATAGACCTGCAAATTGAGCTTTTAAAGACAAACTGTATATATGTCTGAAGTGCATTTAATGACTGCACAGAACTGCAGCCTCTCCCAGAGAACTCAAATAACACCTACTATTTAGAAAGAGAGTACTGGAGTTTAACACTTATCTAAGGAAAACAAATAAAGGAGTCCTAGTGTCAAATTCCAGCTCTTTTTCTCTTCTAATAATAATAAAAAGGACTACTTAGTTCTGTTTCTAAGTATACAAAGTCCAGTTGGCCAAACGTTTGTCAGCAATAATTTAATAACAATACATATGTAGTATTTCCTTAAGGAAAAAAATGAAGAGTGATGAAAAATGCATGTGTTAGAAAACATGTATTTTTACAAAGTTGGTTTTTTGTTGTTTTTTTCCTTAAGGGGGAATATCTTAGATAGGCTTTAGACTTCTCTTTCCAAATTATGCTTTCTGATACCTTGGTTGAAAACAAGTAGGATTAATCAAACAAAGGAAGGGCACCAGGGAAATCAGAAAGATGCAATGCAAGCAGTTAAAAGTGACATGACCTTCTGTAATGTCGCTCGTCACAGACTTATATGCCACACACTGGAGGAAGGTCTTGAAAGAAACTGATTCTGGGTGCTATTCCTTGAATGTAATACTAATAAAGATGACATTTTAAAAAACACACGTAGACAGCCCCAAATACATGCCAGTTACATTACAGCCAAAACGAAT